TCACTCTTCTTATCTTCTTCTTCCTCCTCCTCCTCAGCCCCGGCTCAATATATTTGAGAGCCTTAGGGCAAAAAATTTTTTTTTTGGCCTATTATTATATACAAAGAGAAAATTTACTTAATTTTTAAAAATTTTGCGGAGTTTTTATAGTAAAAATTGTTATTTTAAAAATTTTGGGCCTTTTTATACATTTTCTTATAAATAATTAGGCCTCTTAAAATATAATTCTCATATTAATAATATTTTAAAAAAATATTTGGGCCTTTTTTATATATAAATTTTTTTATAAAAAAAAAAAGCCCCGGGCCGTCGCACTTCCGCCCTACCCATTTGAGCCGGGGCTGCTCCTCCTCCTTACTCATTCTCTTCCCCTTAGGGTTTTATCAATCTCTCTTCTCCAACCATGGCTTCCTCCGCCGCCCAAATTCACATCCTCGGCGGAATCGGATTCCCTGCTTCCGGCAAAAACCTCGACAACAAAACCAATTCCATTCCACGAAGCGTCTTCTTCGGCAACAGAACAAGTCCTTTCTCTACTCCAACCTCCGCCTTCCTTCGTATGGGACGAAGAAACAACAACGCTTCCCGATACACCGTTGGTCCAGTCCGTGTTGTTAACGAGAAAGTCGTCGGAATCGATTTAGGTACGACGAACTCAGCCGTAGCTGCTATGGAAGGAGGTAAACCAACGATTGTGACTAACGCTGAAGGTCAAAGAACTACGCCTTCTGTTGTAGCTTATACTAAGAGTAAAGATAGACTTGTTGGTCAGATTGCGAAACGTCAAGCTGTTGTTAATCCGGAGAATACTTTCTTCTCTGTTAAGAGGTTTATTGGTAGGAGAATGAATGAAGTTGCTGAAGAGTCTAAGCAGGTTTCTTATAGAGTTATTAAAGATGAGAATGGTAATGTTAAGCTTGATTGTCCTGCTATTGGTAAACAATTTGCTGCTGAGGAGATTTCTGCTCAGGTTTGAATCAATTTTCTTTCGAAATTTAGCGTATGAATTTTTGGGAAATGGAGCATTACTAAGAACTGTGTGGTTGTAATGTAGGTTTTGAGGAAGCTTGTGGACGATGCTTCAAGATTCTTGAATGATAAAGTAACTAAAGCTGTTATCACTGTGCCTGCTTACTTCAATGATTCACAGAGGACGGCTACTAAAGATGCTGGTCGTATTGCTGGATTGGAAGTTCTTAGGATTATTAATGAGCCTACTGCTGCTTCTTTGGCTTATGGGTTTGAGAGGAAAAGCAATGAAACTATTCTTGTCTTTGATCTTGGTGGTGGTACCTTCGATGTCTCAGGTATTTTTACTAAAGTTCTAATTGGGCTTTTACTGTCTTTTTAAGTATTGGAGTTTTCTAATTATTTCTGGGTTTTTGTTTCTTGGAATGTAGTCCTTGAGGTTGGTGATGGTGTTTTTGAAGTTCTTTCTACTTCTGGTGATACACATTTGGGAGGTGATGACTTTGACAAGGTGAGTCAAAACGCAGACTTTTCTGAAATCCTTTGTAAATAATCTTAATCTGTTCACTCACTGGTAGATATGACTTTTGCAATGCAGAGAGTTGTTGATTGGCTTGCTTCAACTTTCAAGAAAGATGAAGGTATAGATCTTCTCAAAGACAAGCAAGCGCTTCAGAGGTTAACTGAGGCAGCTGAAAAAGCTAAAATTGAGCTTTCCTCACTGACTCAGACAAACATGAGGTTCAATTTTCCCTCTCAAATCTATTTACCTCGTTCCCATTTGTATTTAGAATATTAACTGATTTCGATACCGTATCCAGTTTGCCTTTTATCACTGCTACGGCTGATGGGCCTAAGCACATTGAAACCACTCTCACCCGAGCCAAGTTTGAAGAATTGTGCTCTGACTTACTTGACAGGTGATTTTAGTGATTTTTTTCTTTGGCTAAGATCACTAACCTGCCACGTAAACAAGATTGCTATTCCATTCACCTGTAGCGCTTAAGTTTCTTTTCTCTGCATTCAAACTTGTAGGGTCAGGACACCGGTGGAGAATTCTCTGAGGGATGCAAAGCTCAGCTTCAAAGATATTGATGAGGTGATCCTTGTTGGTGGATCCACGCGTATTCCTGCTGTTCAGGAACTCGTACGGAAGCTAACAGGGAAAGAACCCAATGTCTCAGTCAATCCTGATGAAGTTGTAGCTTTAGGTGCTGCAGTTCAGGTGTGTCTTGTTGACCTCTAATCTTTACACATCGTAGTTGTAACAGTAAATTGACATTGTACTGTGATGAGCCGTATCACTAAAATGCTATTTGGCCTCTGATTCCAGGCTGGTGTTCTATCTGGAGATGTGAGTGATATTGTTCTTCTTGATGTGACGCCGCTATCGCTTGGTTTGGAAACTCTTGGTGGTGTCATGACCAAGATTATTCCAAGAAACACCACACTTCCAACTTCTAAGTCAGAAGTCTTCTCAACCGCTACAGATGGACAGACAAGCGTAGAGATTAATGTGTTACAGGGTGAGAGAGAGTTCGTAAGAGATAACAAGTCTATTGGTAGCTTCCGTCTTGATGGTATTCCGCCTGCACCACGTGGAGTTCCACAAATCGAGGTCAAATTCGACATTGATGCCAATGGAATTCTATCTGTCAGTGCTTCGGACAAAGGCACAGGAAAGAAGCAGGACATTACCATTACTGGTGCTAGTACCTTGCCTAAGGATGAGGTTTGTGGCAATGATCAAACTTGCTTCACTTAATGTGTAATTATTTTCTTAGTCATATTGGTTGTGTGGTGTTGCAGGTAGACACAATGGTGCAAGAAGCAGAGAGGTTTGCAAAGGAAGACAAAGAAAAGAGAGATGCGATTGACACAAAGAACCAGGCTGATTCCGTCGTTTACCAGACAGAGAAGCAGCTTAAAGAACTTGGAGAGAAAATTCCAGGTCCAGTGAAAGAAAAGGTTGAGGCTAAGCTCCAGGAGCTGAAGGAAAAGATAGGAAGCGGATCAACTCAAGAAATCAAAGACACCATGGCAGCTCTTAACCAAGAAGTGATGCAGATTGGCCAGTCTCTGTACAACCAACCCCAACCAGGTGGTGCTGGTTCTCCTCCTGGAGGTGAAGCTTCCTCGTCATCTGACTCATCATCCTCAGCCAAAGGTGGAGACAACGGCGGTGATGTGATAGACGCTGACTTCACAGACAGCAAATAATACAAATTGGATTCATACAAGGATTATTTCTGGGGTTTGTCCATGATTTTGTAGGAAAGATAATGTGATTTGTGGGCAACAAATGAATGGTAAGAGTCAAATTTTGTCTTTTTAAACACATACGTGAAGCAATATTCTGGAGCACATATTGTCCATAGAAGCAGTGTTGTCACAAAACATGTACATTGAGAAGTAGAGACGTTCTCATGTAGCATATCATTCAGGCGCACATTTAGATACCTACAGAGTTAAACTGTACAACAAACACATGACCAAATATATACAGATGGTTGCAATGTTATGTGGTTCAGAGGCGGAGTCCGTGGTTCCTAGGACTTTGAGGAACGCTGCTTGCTCTTCCCCAGAACCTGCGGTCATCATTGCACCAGCACTTACCATTACCACAACCTGAGTTATGTGTGGTTGTGTATGATTGGTCCCAACCGATGCCTCTGGGGATGTCTAACGGAGTTGGTGGTCGCGGCCAACAAGTTAAGTAGTTAGGAGGCTGCAAGTATGCGTTGTGGAAGTGGCTGTATGGCTGCAGCTGCTGTGAGATGTTGGGACTGCTATGTACTTTATGCATCGGGTAAAGCCGGCTCAATTGGTAGTTATTCTGAAAACTCGTTTCTGGCAGCTCGTGACTGTATCCATCAGGTGATGATTCTGATTTGGGAGAGGAGCAAGTAGAGACGGTGAAGGAAGGTCGTGTTTTGATGGGAGCACGAAGAGCAGTAGCACTCTTGGATGTGCGAAGAATGCCATTGATGGCTTCAATGTAGCGTTGCTCTATGGTTTGTGGCTCGATCGGGCCTAACTGATTCTCGAGAACCACTGGGTTTGCAGGAAACAAGAAGGTTCTGAGTTTGGGGGTTTCATGACGGTTATATTCCTCTATCATGTGTTTCACATCTTCATCAGACTTAACGGACACTAATGCATCAAGATCTTCTGGAATGATCTGGTATTTGAGCACGATATCGTTCTCTGTGATTGCGGCAAGTTTCTTCACGAGTTCTACAATTGAAACAAAAGCTCGATGTTAAGAAGATGTATCGTGAGATTACATCAATTAAGGGAAAGAGTTGGTTATTACCGGAGAAGGAGATGTCGGGAGATACAGCAATAACGCGAGTCTCACCGCCGACATATTTGAGAACACCGTCGGATGGTCTAGGGAGGATTCTGCCTCCAAAACTGCACATGAACTTCACCTTACTACTCGGCGATCTCTCCTCCGCCATTGATGTTTCTGGCACCTCTCTTTTGGCTTTTGGTTGTCGTTTGGAGGGAACAGAGATGAGATCAAGAATAACTTGAAGGACAAATTTCCCTCCCAAAATTGCAGATATTGTTTTTAGGTTTTGTAAAAAGCAAATCAAATATTAAACTATGGAATAAAAAGATCGAATGCAAATTGAAACCCCGATACTAAAGAATTGATGCTCTTATCTCTTCCTTCTTCGTGTAAGATAATGATTTGGAGATGTTTGAGATAATGTAGAAATGTATTAGTTTTGATGAAGAAGGAAGAAGAAAGAGGAGAAGAAGAGAGGTTTGTTCAAATTGTAATTCGCAAATTATTTTAGAGTTTTCTACAAAAGAAAAAAAAAATGAAGAAAAAAAGGTTTAAAAAGCAAGAAAAGAGGAACAGAAGAATCCGTGCCGTAGGATTTAAGCTTATTTTAAGATTGTTTTAGCTATTTATGGATTTTATTGATAATGAACCTCTTCAATGTCTTAGTTTCATAACTAGAGCTCTCTTTAGCCCAAATTTTCTAATTTTGCATATCACTTTAATTCTGATGATATCAGACACAATGGAACATCAAAATCACCACCCGATAATGTTTGCGTTGTAACATGATGTTTCGTTTTTGCAAGAGTGAACATAAAAAGATATGAACCAATATGCTCTATCTAGTAAAAGCCTTCTTCTTGCAAGCAGTTACCTAAAACCTAGCTATGTTGTTGTTTCCCGCTTTTTTTGCCCTTTTTCTGTTTCTGCTTCAACTGTGTCAAACCTGCTGCTGTGATCTTCACATTCCCCACAAGAGCAGCCATTAGCTCTGGATCTGTACATGCCTTCATCAGCTCTTTCTCCCTTACTGTCGCCTCCGTCATATGTGTAAACAGATTCATTGCAGTTTTTGCAGCTGTCCAAACACAAAACACAACATCAATACAATCCAAAAGCTCCACACTTGCAACTACTTGGAAGAGAATGTGTGTTATTACCTTTTCCTTTCTTCATGCTGCCTGGAATCGCTTTGACTCTGTATTTATATGACTGCAGAGCGTTGTAGGGGCCGCACACGGGGACCGCATATAAAAGGATGTCGGTTGGTAACGGGTTACCAGTTAGGTAATCGACATCAATCAGTTTTTCTTTCTCTTCGTCTCCAACCTCATTAATATCGTCTTCTTCCATCACCACTTTGTCCATCTCTGAAGTTTCTTTCCCATGACAATCCCTAGCAAGATGTCCAACCTTCTTACACCTGTAACATATTTTCACAGCATCTTCTGTCTCTACGCAGCAACCAAAATGCAACTATCAATATCATATGGTACCAGTCTAATGGAAAGTGTATGCCAGGAAGCAATTTCAGAAGAAAAAAAGACAGCATTGAAAAATTTACCTTCAGAAGGTTTCTTCTCTACGGTGACTGCAGTTTTTGCATTCTGTGATTCAACATCAGTCTTCTGTGGCTTTCCAGACGACTGCAAAGAGGAGATTAATTTACCGGTCATTAAATACTGATAAGAGAAGAATTGATGGTCTATGAAAAAAAAATGGAGAATCCAAGTGAAGAATTCGTGAGGTACTTACTGCCAACAATGCCATCCGTATTTTTCTTTCGTCTTCATCTTGATCAGCATACTTCTCCTTCATTTTCTTAAGTTTACCCCTTTGCCCACGGCTAACTTTTTCCCCAGCTGGCTTGTTATCAGGTATACTCTTGTTAGCTTGGCTTAAAGAAGAAACATCTTTTTCCTTTCGTTGCTGCTTTTCTTGCCCAGTGTTACCATCAACAGCTGTGTTACCGCTTTGGCCCATCTTAAGCTTTCTTCTTTCAGCTTTTGACATATAAGGCTTATCTCTCACTACTGCTTTTTTCTCTTCCTGTGTCATCTTCTCTTCCATTTCATCTTTTGATGTCTCTATTGTATCTTTCTTGCCTGCCACCGTTGCAGCACCAAGACCTAGGGTTCTATCAAGAAGATCTTCAAGCTGTGAGGTGGCTGATTCCACATTTTCTTCAGCAATACCAGATGAATTCATGTCAAAAGAAGAAGTATCTTGGCTCAATATGGTACTTGATTCCTCCAAATCAACTTCTCCTGAGGCAGAAACCGCTTCATTCACTGCTTCGTTCTCTGACTCAACATCTGAATGCTCATCAGGAGCATGCGTTTCCATGACTACATCATTCATTCCTTCCTCTTCCCCTCTTACCCTTCTCTCATTCAAATGAGCTCCCAAGGAGCTCTCGTCCAAACGAAACAACAATCCAAAACCCATGATGAGTGGGTGTGGCGGGAGGAAGTTTTTCTTACCACGTATCATAAAACTTCCAACTGTAAGGTATTCTCCAGTCGGAGCTGTTTTAGTGACTTGATGAGGATAAACCCACCATGCACTAGTAACAATCTTGGAATCCCATGCCTGACTATGACAAACCTGCATCGAATTATATCCAAATGTCTGCCATCAAGACATTGCACCATATTCACACAATTCAAACAACTAAAATGGTAGATGAAATTGCTTACCGTAAAACATCCAGCTTGGTTTAAAGTGAGAGGCGGTACATTTTGTTCAGGTTTATGATTCTTTATCACAGTACTAGATGCTCCATGAAGCTCTGCGTGTACATACCTAAGAAAGCATGGTTAAAAGAAACTTATCATCATCTTTGAATATTTAATACTAACACAAAGACTGGCTAAATAACTCTATATATGAAAACTTACAGATCTCCTTTTGACATGTAACGTTTAACTATCATCTCATTTTGCTGAGCATCACGACCACTGATGACCAAGTAGTTCTCACTGCTAATGAACCAATTAAATTTCTCAAACCAGTGGACTTTTCTCATGTGTGAAATAGTTGCAACCACTTTTTCCTTTCAGCCAGAAAATACAAATGATTAGTTGACTGCGAGGAAGAAAACACTAAACAAGATTAACAGCACCGAGGTTGGAAGCTTACCTGAGAAAGCTGGTGGCGTGTCTTTTTCTCAGCTGCTCTAAAAGCCTTTTCATGAGCAGAAACAGTCTTCTCCTGTTTGGTTTCTTGCTTCTTCTTCATTTCATACCATCGCCTAGCATTACCATGCGCAGAAAGTGATAAGTCCACCTCCACCTACAAAACCACATTGTGCCCCATATGTCAGAACAAGAAAGAAGATGAGCTTTATATATTCAATCAAGTGGGGGGAGATCAACACCTTTTCCACTGGGAGCGTCTTCTCATCATCATCCATTTCATCAAGATTGTTGCACAACAACAAGGTCATACAATTCTTCTCCAGATAAAGTTTGTCAATGAGTCCAGCAACAGGATTTCCTAATTTTTTTTCTTCCTTGACCATGCGAGCTAGATCATCCCAGCCCATACCCTTTGCAAGTGCTACACGAACAGCTAATATGGCAGCATCTACATCTTCTAAGTTGTACTCGATTAATTCAGCCATATTAACACAATGGTTGACTTCTTTCTTCAGAATTTGAACACGGTTCTCCTACAACACAAGTATAGAAACATTGCAATTAAGATAAGTTTAAATAAAAGTTTCACAAAGATATATGGAAATGGAAGTTCCAAACCAGTACATTAATAAATACCACAAACCTGATCCTGGCGAATCTTATTGAGTTTCTGACTGGCAGAATCTTCTTTTGCCTTTTGTTGTTGTTCAGACCTTTGGCTCTCAATTTTGCTGTAGAACTCATCTAAAGCCGCATCGAAAGTTTCAAACTTTTCATACACTCGTGATTTGAATTGATTTAATAAGATTGAACAGAACTCATCATACATCTGTAGACAACCAAGGCAAAAGAAAATACTATATATCAAATCCATGGCCATTAAAGAATACAAAAATGAAGAAGCATAGAGTAAAATAGTGACCTTTTTAACACCTCCTGATTCAGAAGGCGTGTCATTTGCCAAAATTTGTTTTTGCATTAGAATATAACCTTCAGGAACTTTTTGACCATTTATAATATCTTCAAGCCAATCTTCAAAAACGATCACCGCTTGAACCAATAACTGAATTTCATTATCATCTAACTTCTTGTCTTCTGAAAGTTTGGTAGTTGGAATTAGACCAGCATCCAGAATAATGTGCTCTGAGAGCTGTGGCCCATAGCCTAAAGCGTCACCAAGAATATTCTTCAAGGTATATTGTTTGGCACCCGTAGAATCATTTGACTTCCCACCCTTTTTGCCACCATTCTGCTCCTTCCGTTCAATCTGTTTTGCTTCATGATCCTTAAGCGAGAAAGCAGTAAGTGATTCCTGAAGCTTTGAAACAGTGGTTCTCTCAAAGACTCTACATATCTCTATGGGGTAACGGTGGCGAGACATGATAGCAAAACCCTTATTGTCATCTCTACAGAAATAAAAATCAATCATTCAGTACAAAAGGCCACACCAATTAAAAGGCAACAAAAGAATGTCTCTCAAAGCAGCAGGTCACAGTCACCTTAAGAAGTTCAAACATAGCAAAACACACAAACAATCTGATGAAAGTAAAAAAACAAACCTATGAGACCGGAGGAGTGTCATGATCATATACTCAGAATCAGTAAGAATTATGTTTCCTTGAGCATACAACTCCAATATAACATAGTGAGCATTAGCACCTAGTCCAAACTGGAAGACAATGATCTGGTACCAACAACAAAAGTTAAAAACCAAATACACAATGAAAGCAAACCAAACAAAACACAAAAGAAAACTCCAAGTTCCATACCCTATCATAACCAAGCTGTCGAACATCCTCAAGCCTCCTAGTCCTGATATGTTTCCTCAACTTCAAAGTAAACCCAGATGGAGTATTACTCTTATCCCTACACAAATTTGTGAGAAAAAAAAAAAAAAAAAAAATCATTACTACTTCCCCAAAAAAAAAGCTCAAAATCTAGAGATGTGTTTGTTTTACCTGACATAAGCAGTGGTATGCAAACGAACACCACTTTCCATTAAAAGCAAAACTTTCTCACTTTCTCCAGATTCTGTGATACCGCTACTATTCAAGAGCTTGAACATATACGTCTGCATCAAATTGAAGCAAAATCAAAACATAAACCCTAATGGAAATCGAATCAAACAAATTGGTGGATTTGAAGATTTAATTGTAGAAATATGTTACCTTGGGAGATATATCATAGACGTTGGAGCATCTCATACCGATTAATCGCTTTAAGCACTTGACTTCGGCGGCGACGTCCGCCGTGTTCATTCGTACCTTCACCATTTCTTAATCTCTCTATTTCGTCTCTCGAGAGAGTTTTGGAAATTTGGTGATTCACTGTCGAATAGTCGAATCGAAGAAAGGTCTGTACTAAGCGTGAGAAAGAAGAAGAAGAAGAAGAGAAATTTGTGAGCTATTCATTTGTGTTGGGCCGAATAGAAGAAGGGCCTACAAGCCCAATATAAAAGTCAGATCATTAGTTATCTAAACCAATCAAAATTACACGGTTTATATAAACCGGTTACTCTTATACAATAATTAGATGGAGTTGTGTGTAGGGATGACCACGGTTACGGTTAATTAACCATCGATTACGGTTAAAAAATTTTTTTAACCGTAAATGTTTTAACAGAACGAGATGGTGGAGTTTCTTAAGAAATTTAATCATCCGGTTGACGTCATTGCCACCAAGAACATAAGCGCACATGAAAATAATCACCAACTTCAGTTAGACATATGTGTTTTCCCATTAGGCACAGAGAAATAATATTCAGATGGCAATGATACTCATTGGTTACGTGTTTAATCCTCTGTACAATACAGAGAATAATATGATCACACTAGATTGGACAAGAAAGCTTATAGAAATACTCAGGCCGGCTCAATTAATTTTGAGTCCTGGTACAAATCTTAAAAATTGGCCATTTTTCATTTAAAAAAAATAAAAAAAATTGGGCCTTTTTCATGTTAAAAAAAATTAAAAATTAACCACTTTCATACTAAATAAAATATTTAGGCTTTTTTTATGATAAATATATCTTAAAGTTTTAAAAATTACATTTTTTTCTATACGAAAAAAAAAATTGGGCCTTTAAATATACCCAAAAAAATTGGACCCGGTACAATTGCTCCACTTGCACACCCCAAACGCCGGCACTGGAAATACTTGTAATTTTTTTCAAATCGCTATGAAATAATTATTACCAATACATGATATTTTGTGACGGATTTAATATACAAAAATATGGTCAAAATTTGCTTGAAATATGCTCAAATTGTGCTCAAATTATGACAAAAACATATGATCTAGTTATTTGTGCTAATGTTATCAATGTATCATTTTTTAGGTCTAAACCCAGCATAATGCATGTTGTAAAACCACTATGAACCGTGAAGAAGAGTGTTCCTGTGAATGGATACACACAGAAATACTCTGGATTCGGCTCCCTTCCATGTTCACAAGAAAAACAAGGGATAGGAGGGGTAGATAATGAAGAAATTTGATCGGTTAAAGCTGAAGCTGCATAAACAAGTATTGAAGTTTGATAAGTAAGTTAAATTTACATGGAGAATCGAGAGTTTCTGAATATTTCTCTGTATTGAACTTGACCTCAATGATCTTAACGTCAATGATACACGCATACAAGACTTGTAAATTAAGCTAGAATCCTAACTAAAAGGAAGATACTTAACTATACGATATATGCAAATCTGCAAATCTAACAATGTGAATATTCTCCAAATATTCTCCATTATAATTGTATATCTGAAATATACTTACAGTTTGTTGTGATCGTAGATACGTGGAGAAAAAACAAGATCAGGAATCGTCATACTTGAACTCATCTTCAATGAATCTCTAATGGTCTTCCTCTGCTTCTAATGGTCTTCCTCTACTTCTAATGGCTCAAAGTGATGAAACCTTCAATTTTGGTTTATGTCATTAGGGTGAACGACCTGTGTCCCCCCCACGAAGTTTCATATAGTACCATAACAACATAAATTTTGGGTCTCGTTTCCAGTCCATACAAAACGAAAGTTAAACTCCAGTTTCCCCCTAAATTGAAAGTTTGAGACCTCAGTCTCCATAAATTCAAATTTCGTGGTTTATCTTTGGTTTACTGTGCCGAAAACCAAATTAACCGCTTAACATCGAAAGTAAACCGGATTTACCCAGAAACCAACCCGATTAGTAAACCGCCTTCCTTCTTCTTCTTCCTCCTCCTCACTGTTTAACGCAGCCTCCGTTTCTTCTCTTCTTCTCCTCTCTACACAATTCCTCTCCTTTTTTCATTCTCTTTTCTTCTTTATAATCCTTCTGATTCGCTGGTGATCGGTACGAGAAAGTTAGAATCACGAAGAAGCTGTGTTTCGTTTAATCGGAATCAAAATTGGGTGTGGAGAAGAAATTGAACGAATCCAAATCGGATTGCTAAAATTACTTGTGATCCCAAAACCGACTGTTGCTCTTGGTACTGCCTCGAGTGCGGCGACGCCACCGTATGGGATCCCAAAACCGACTGTTGCTCTTGGTACTGCCTCGAGTGCGGCGACTCCACCGTTAACCACCGCGTCACTTCCCTAATCATACAAGACGGCGATATCTCCGTTCAGATCCCAGCTGAAGTCGGTGACTTACCGTATCTTACATCCCTTATCTTCCACAAACTCACTAACCTCACTGGTCACATCCAACCCACTATTGCCAAGCTCAAGAATCTCACTTTTCTTAGACTAAGCTGGACGAATCTCACCGGTCCGGTTCCTGAATTTCTGAGTCAGCTCAGAATCTTGAGTATACATTGACCTTTCCTTCAATGATCTCTATGGTCCATACCAAGTTCTCTCTCTTCATTACCTAAACTCGAGTATTAGGCTTTGGATACGTTCAATTTCTTCTCCAGATTGCTCTTCTTAATCTTGAACATACTTTAAGGTGGGTTTGGATTTCTGTAAAAAAAAAAACAATCACAGATCGGAATCGGAAACGTACCATTACATAATTCGAATCGGATTTCACTTGGGTATAATGATGGGTCAACTAATTGGGTTGGGTTCTGGATAAATCCGGTTTAATTTGATGTTAAGTGGTTAATTTGGTTTTCGGCACAGTTAACCAATGATAAACCACGAAATTTGAATATATGGGGACTGAGGTCTCGAACTTTCAATTTAGGGGGACTCTGAAGTTTAAATTTTGTTTTGTGTGGACTGGAGACGAGACCCGAAATCTGTGTTGTTATGGTATTATATGAAACTTACTGGGGGGACACAGGTCGTTCACCCATGTCATTATGTGTAACTACACATCTATAATTTATTAAATTACCATTGAAGAAAACAGAAATTAGGGTTTATTATAGAGTTTCTGCAAAATCAGATCATCTTAAAGTGTTATAGTTTCTATGAGCTAAAATGCATTTATTGAGATTGTTATTATTATTAGATTATTTGTTTGTTATTTTTTCCTATATTCTTATGTGTTTCTAAAATTTCTTTAGGTTTTGCTAATTAATGGTCAACTTTTTAAAAATATACCAATAATTATTATAGTACTATCTTTTATATTTATATCTCTTTAGAGTTATGGGGACCTACGAATGCTTAGTATGTTTCTTCACGCTATCTATTTCACTTCATTTCAAAGATGCATCTTCCTCAGATTTACTCTCTATCAATACCTCACTTTCTCTAGAAGACACCATTGTTTCTTGGGGTAACATGTTTGAATTGGGTATCTTCTTTTTTTTTCGTCTGAATGATTCCATATATTAATCAACCAAAAAGTCACAAACAAAAAAGGAACGATTACAATCAAGCAACAGAACTCATTACACAAAAGTAATGCATATATCATCTTCGAACACCTTCTGAAGCCAAAAAGGGTAGCCACTTGCTACATATGATTGGAACCGTTCCTCTCTAGTGACACTCCTAGCAATCAAGACTGCCCCAAGATTACACTTCCTATCTTCATGAACAACTCTCCAAGCCGGTAAAAAGGACAAGGCTAGGAGGAGCCTCTCAGATTGAGATTTGAAATTAGGCCAGGCTGCAGGACGAAGGACAGCACCTACCAATTCATTAGGCTCAAAGGCAAAAATCACTCTATGGATATGAAGATTTTGCATGTCTTTAATAGCCCAAACACAACCTTGAAGTTCAGCTTCACCCTTCGAGGAAATAGAAGGAAGAGCAGCTCTACTATGAAGAAGAACGATGCCTTCAGAATTACGCAAGACCCAAGCCACTCCACAAATCTTTTTCTCCTTATTCCAAGAAGAAGCCACGTTGCATTTTAACCATGGCTTAGGAGGAGGCCTCCATTTGTGGATGTAACCTTGAGTTTGTACGTTGGAAAGCACCGTCTCTTGAGACTCTAAGACCTGCGCTTGAAACCACTCAACAGTATCTTCCTTGAACCTTAAAAGAATGTCTTTAGGTGTGGAAACCAAACCTTCAAAGAAGAGGCTGTTTCTGTTCTTCCACAACGACCAAAGAATCCAAGGAGGATATCTTCTTACCTCAACAGGTACCTTTGAATTCTTGCACATCAAAATCACATGAAAAAGATTCTGATAAATGGATCTTGGGTCAAAACCATCTTCAGGGAGAGGGAGACCTGAAAGAGCCCAAATCTGTCTTGACAAAGAACACGTGAAGAGAATGTGATTGATTGATTCTCCCTCTAGGCCACATATATGGCAGCGTTGATCCACGACCATACCTCTAGTGCTCAGCCTTTCAGCCACCGGAATAGCACCACTAATTGCTTTCCATATGAAAACCTTGATTTTCGAAGGAGCAAGCAACTTCCAAATCTGTTCTTTGATTCCATTTAAAGAGGGAAGCATGGAGACAAACCTGATTGCATCATCATTCTGATCTTGGGACGCCAACCAGTAACCAGATTTAACACTATAAACACCACTCTTGTTGTGTTTCCAGCATTTGAAATCAGGGGAAGAGATAACAGGTTTGGACTTTTTAATGATCTCAACATCTCCTGGAAAAAAATGATCATTAAGGCAAGAGAGATCCCAGTCCCTAGTCTCCAAATTAAAGAGCTCCCCCACAGATAATTCCAAATTCACAAGAATGTTCTTCATGAAAGGAGCTCTCATACGGCTGCCATCCTCCAACCATAAGGTAGTCCAAACCGGGAGAGAGTTACCATCGCCTACCCTTTGAATCAATCCTTTTTCAAGAAGGTCCCGACCATGCAGTAAACTCCTCCATCCAAAAGAAGGCCGAGGACCCAAAGCAGACTCAAGAAAAGGCAAGTCAGAGAAATACCTGCTCTTCAGAAAAAGAGATAAGAGACAATCTGGAGCAGAATAAAGCCGCCAGGCCTGTTTAGCAAGGAGGGCTTGATTGAACAGCTCTAAATCTTTGAAACCTAGCCCTCCCAATGATTTTGGCAAACACAGTTTCTCCCAAGCAACCCAGCTGATCTTTCTATGATTCTCCATTGTGTTCCACCAAAAGGATGACATAGCACTAGATAGAGACTCGCAAGTGGCTTTAGGTAACTTAAAGCACGACATGGCATAGACAGGCATCGCCATTGCAACAGTCTTCAAAAGGATCTCTTTTCCACCTTGAGAGAGAGTCTTAGCAAACCAGCCTAAGAGTCTGTCCTTTAGCTTCTCATGGATATACTCCAACATATCTTTTTTAGAGCCACTAAAACATTCTGGCAGTCCCAAGTAAGAACCTGCTCCACCTTCTTTTTCCATACCCAATTTGCTCTTCACCAAGGCCCGAATATTCTCCTCTACTTTTTCACCAAAAGTAATTGAAGATTTGTCATAATTGATAATCTGGCCTGTAGCAGTCCCATAAACCGCCAGAATGTTTTGCAGGGCACCACTCTGCTCCTCATCAGCTTTACACACAAACAAGCTGTCATCAGCAAAAAGTGGATGGTTGATAGCAGGTCCCTCCGGTGAAAACCTCATCCCACTAATAGTACCCTGCAACTCAGCCTTGTTCAAGAGGTGAGTTAGTCCTTCAGTACATAAGACAAAAAGAAATGGAGAAAGAGGATCTCCCTGTCTTAATCCCCTCTGTGGCACTACCAAACCATGCGGGCTGCCATTAACCAGAACCGTGTAAGTCACTAATGTCACACAAGTCATGATCAAATCAACCCATCTCAAATCAAACCCTAAGGCAAGCAGAAGGTGACGCAGGTAGCTCCATTCAACACGATCAAAAGCTTTGGATATGTCTGTTTTTATTGCCATATACTCTTTAGACATGGAACCATGAGTTCTGAGAGCATGTACAACTTCATGAGCTATAAGAATATTGTCAGAAATAAGGCGATCCTCCACAAAGGCTGATTGAGTGGGAGAGACAAGATCAGCAAGAATAGGCTTTAATCTTGAAACCAAGATCTTGGAGATTACCTTGTACATCACAGAACAAAGACTAATCGGCCTAAGATCAGCCATGACACTTGAATCTGTCTTTTTGGGTATAAGACAGATTTGTGTAAAGTTCCATTCCTTAACAAAAACTCCTTCATCAAAGAATCTAAGAACCTCTAGAGTCAGTTGGTTCCCTACAATATCCCAGTATTGTTGAAAGAAAAGACCCGTCATACCATCAGCTCCTGGAGCACTAGAGGCTTTGATAGAGAACACAGCATCCTTAACTTCCTCTTTAGACACCTTGGTCGTCAACCAGCTTGTGTTTGAATTGGGTATCTATAAACAAAGTTATCTCCCCTACATTGTCATATGGTATAAAAATTACTTTAAAGCTGTAGTTTGGTTAGCTAATAAAGTATTTGTTTTGAAGATAGTATAAATTCTCTGTTGGTAATAAAATATCAAACGAAAGTTTAATTTTCTATGATAATTACACGGACCAGACAATCTATATATTTTATGCCAAACAAATATCAGTCTAAAAAAAATTAAACTATATTGTAATTTTAAATTCAAAAAATCATTCACAATTGTTTCTTTTATTATTTTTATTTTTTCATTGTAACCATAAAATTCACGACCTAACTAAACACTGTTTCGTTGATCAAAAAAAAAAAAAAAAAAAAAACTAAACACTGTAAATCATGGAGAATCTATTGATTTAAATACATTTTGACAGAAAAAAAAAACATTTGGGTGGGCCTTGTAACACAAGACGCCGTCGATAAAAGGCAATCTCACGATCGTATCATCATCTCCGAATCAAAACTCGTAATTAAAGATTTTCGAGTGGAGGAGATATGCAATTGCTGACGCTAAACCCGGCGGCCATTTCCAGGACGCCGTCGCAAGCCCTAGATCCTTCCTCTTCCTCGAGACTTCTTCCTTCTCCTCAGGTGATTTTGATTTTTTTTCAATCCGTTCTTTGTTCTTCTCACGCTTGTTTGTTATATAACTCGTTGTATCGATGTCTCTGCTCCGAATTCTTTTGGCAGATTTTGAGCTCCCAACGCGCTCTTGGTCTTGTAGCTTGGCCTTGTAATCCACTTCGACGAGGATTATCTAGGTCTTTATCAAGTCGACAACTTTTCCGACGATCCAAAGGTCAGTATACGAATATCTCTCTCTATCTCCGTTTAGAAAGATTCTATTTTGCCGTCGTTATTGTATCCTTCTGAGCACAAGGGCAAATTCTATGACCAAAAGATCAAATAGTTCAAAAATTGTCCTTGTAATCGAGAGTTTGATGTAGATAGATGTTGTGATTGAATTGTTTTACTCCAAAGGGCTCTGACATGACAATATCTTCATTTTCCTATGGCTGTCTTCTGTTTTTATTTGGGTTGCATTACGGATATATAATTTCAACTCTAGTTTCTGAATAAAAATGGTTTGAATCTTGAACTTCTAATGAACTAACAGAGGGTTTGATGTATATAGTTGGTTAGTGCTCAGAAGAACTTTCACATAAAAAAAAAAACAACTGTTCAAGTTTAAAATCAGTTGCTTTTCTTGTCTTACTAGTCTCCTTGAAACTTGGGAAGAGATTTTGGTGTTGTGATTGCATTGCCCTTTGACATGACGACATGACAAATTTTGTTTCCTATAGCTATCATCAGTTTTTATTTGGGTTGCTTTAGGGATATATAATTTCAATTGTAGTTTGTGAACGAATGGTTTCTGGTCCCACCTCTATCAGACATTATAAAGTTACAACGTTTCTCTAAAATTTAGAGGAAAGAGTTCTCCTTCCACTTTGATATCCATTTTCCGTTTATTTGAAATGTTATCTTGCTTTTCGTGTGTGTATCTTCTCCTCGAAGAATATGTATTTAGGCTTATGGTTGATTTCTGGATTTTTGCAGTTGTCAAGGCAGTAGCAACCCCAGACCCAATCTTGGAAGTTCCTTTAACTGAGGAAAATGTAGAAAGCGTTTTGGACGAAATCCGACCATACCTTATGTCTGATGGTGGTAATGTGGCATTACATGAGATCGATGGAAATATTGTGCGAGTTAAGCTGCAGGGAGCATGCGGATCATGCCCAAGTTCTACCATGACAATGAAGATGGGTATTGAACGTCGTCTAATGGAAAAAATCCCTGAAATAGTAGCTGTGGAAGCAGTTGCAGATGAAGAGACTGGCCTTGAACTGAATGAGGAAAACATTGAAAAGGTTAGATTTTGGCTAGCTTAAGTTCTCTGCATATGTGGTTTTGCTGTTATTGCTAGCTCAAATCCATATATCTGGTCCAAATACTGTTTTTCCGCGCCTTGAGCTGAACGAGTAAAACACTGAAAAGGCTTGTTTTGGTATAAACTCTAGGTTGCTTAAGTACGTATGTCTTGCAAATGCTAAAGGTATGAAACCGGGACTATGATTAAGCAAAAGGGATTTTGTGTTCCTTGCGAATAGAAAAAGGGGCTACAGCTATGAGAAATGTGAATCATGGATAAGTAGATCGTCATGTCATCATCCGTTGGAGGTTACGCGTGATGTTAAAAACACTCTGTGTCCATACGTTGTTTTAGGTACTGGAAGAAATCAGGCCATACTTGATCGGAACAGCAGATGGATCGCTTGATCTAGTGGAAATCGAAGATCCAATCGTGAAGATAAGAATCACAGGACCTGCAGCTGGAGTGATGACAGTTCGAGTAGCAGTCACTCAGAAACTAAGAGAGAAAATCCCGTCAATCGCAGCTGTTCAACTTATATAGAAACCACTCTTCTTGTATCTCTCTTTCTTTGTATTAGCTCCCCTTGTATAGTATTGTTGTGCATAGATTCTGTGTTTGTTGACATATGTTATTTGTCCCCAAATAAGTTTTGAACATTTTTGTTTTACTTAGAAAAAAAAATCCTTTTAAAATCGTCGAAACTTATTTACTTCAAGAGCAGAGACTTATTTGATTCTTCCTTCTTCTTCACAATGAGCCGATCTTTCTCCTTCGCTCTCATTTTCTACCTCTTCCTCCATTATCGTATTATCGTAGCTTCACAATTCGAAGGATTTGATGCTGAAGAAGACGATGTTTCCGACGATTCCTCTCACCTTCTTCACCACTCCCTCCCTCCGCCTCTTCTCACTCAGTCTCACTCATCACTCTCCGATCTGGAACTGGAACCGGAACCGGAATCTTCTTCTGCCGAATCTAACTCCGATCTCATCACTGAATCAGATCCAGAGCATGAATCCGATTCGAGAACTCCCTCGTCTACGCCATTTGAGTACTGGGACGAAGACGAGTTCGAAGGACTACCGATTGAGATAGAGACACTTGAATCTCCATTGATTGCAGAAAACACAACTCATGCTGATCCAAAGACGCTAGATCTCATGACTTCATCGGAACCTCAAGAAGATACTACTGATCAGATGAAGAAGAAGAAGTCGTATGCGGTGGAGATCGCTTGCGTCGTTTTCTTAATCGCTCTCGCAGTCAACTACTTTGTTGGTAAACGTGAGAACGAGAGTCTCGCTTTAGCTTGGGCGGCGAAATTCGCTTCCAAGGATACAATATTCCAGAAGAATTTTAGTTTGCTTGGAGTTAGTGAAGGAGAGGATTCACCATTGTTGTTAAAAGAAGCGTTAAATGTGTTTAAATTCTACGCGAGTGGTCGTAGGTATTGCCATGGATTGTTAGCTACTATGGAGCTTAAGAGTAGACATGATTTGATCTCTAGGATGTTTAATTTGGTGGTTCCTTGTAAAGATGAGATCACTTTTGAGGTTTATATGAATGAAGATACTATGGATAATGTTGTGTTTGCTATGGCGAGGAAAAAGGCGGCGAAAACTATGCAAAAGGAGATGAGGGATTTGCAGAGATTCACTGGGATTGTGTCTCCTCCTGCTGGGAGGAAATGGGTGTCGGAGGAGTTAGCTGTGATTTCTGAATCTAAGGAAGTTGCTGTGGATATGATCACTGACACTGTTCTTGATCAGGTGAGAAAAGTTTTATTTTTGTTCTTTCTCAGATTCTCCATTTGTTTAATGATTGATGATAACTATAGTAGAACTGTATCTGTGTGTGTATTCGCTGGTGATATAGTGAGCAAGAATCAATTTACCAGAGTGAGAAATGGTAAATCAGAATTTGGCAGTTCCATATCAGCTCATTACTGAGTTCAATCTGATTTGCAGACTTTTGGAGTGTACTTGAATGGGTCTTATTGTTTTCCAGTGAGTGTAAGATATGTTGAAAGGAAGCTTTAGTGTCTTTAAGCATTGTTACCTTACTAATTCAGTATTGGAGTTAGTTAGGATATTGTAATTGATCCTCTATGATCAGCTGGCTTGAACTCCATGGCTGTGTCTCTGTTTGTATCTCTATGTGGTTAAATAGGGAAATCAATCACCTCCAGTGGGAACCTTAATTTGCTATTTTAGGTTTGGCTTAAGGTTGCACATTATTTATCTCTATGATACTATCACTAACCAAATACGGGAATGCAATGGAACTATGTAGGTTTTTGGTGACAAGGCTGTGGATAAGTATGGGAAGAATTTCATGTCGATGCATATATCTGACCAACACCCTGGCAAGCACAAGAAGATGATGCTTTTCAAGTTTTCCTTACCCGATGCTAAACATATGGATGATATTGTCCGTTTGGTGTCGCTAATTCCATATTACATCGACTTAGTAGGTCGATACAGACTCAGCTCCCAGGTAAAGTGCAAACTCATGATTAGTTATAGCCTGGTTAAAAGTGTTGAAAGGCTGAGTTTTAAGTGTCTTGATTAAATGAAGGCGCGGAACAAAACTGAGAGTGGTAGGCAAAAGGCAGCAGAGGAAGCATACAAGGAACTTCAGAACGCGAGGCAAGAGGCATTGCAGAAGAAGAAAGCAGAAAAGAAGAAAATGATGGAGGAAGCGGAGGCAAAGCTGAGCGCAGAAGTGATAAGGAAGAAAGAGGCAAAAGAAAGAGCAAGGCAGGTGAAAAAGGCAGTACCAAAAATGAAGATGAGCCGTAGTCACTAGCTAAAAGTTTATCAAAGAGAGCCATCCAAAATGTATTCGTTAAAATCACTCTCCAAACTCAAAAAGCATAGAAAACATCGGCACGTGTTTTTAACAGTGGATGACTGCTTTTGCTTCATAATACTCTCCCTTAAAGTACCACTTTTGACTTATAATGTAGTTTTTGATGTTGTGGTGGAAAGTCCTGTGAGAGCTTTGTATAGTTTATCGATGGCAAACGGCTAATTGTAGTCTTATCTCAAGCAGGTTACAATCGAAAGTTATTAATGGCAAAAGTCGTCTAGCGAGTTGACATTGAAGTAGAGTATGATTTCTTTTTTCGATGAGCCTTCTAGATCTTTTCTTGATTGATAACAAAAGCGACGGTCTTTAATATAACATCAGGCTTTGAGATCAAGTTCATGGCGATATTGTCAAGACCATTGGTGCTCTGGTGGTTCTCTAAAATCCAAAATGAAAATGTAATTAAGTTCTATGTGAGATATGAAAAATCACATTGACGTGTTTCCCGTATGATAACGGAATTAGGTGTTGCTTTGTTGATCTTTCTGGTAAGCAGAAGCTTCAGCTTCATGGCGTCGATGTGGCTTTCGAAGGCGGCAATATGAGAGTAGTTTGGCCATCGAGATTGACATCGATTTCTCGGTTAAGCAGATTTTGGACGCCTTTAATGTCTACTTGTAGGCACTACAAGCAGCAGAGAGTCTATCTTCTCATGTCATCCTATACTGAATCATTGCCAAACCCGATCGACTCCGTTAGCATCTACAATTAGTTAAAAGAGCAACTGATGGAAGATAACTTGTTGTTTAGAAAAACGAATGAGAGTTTTGTATAATATTGTCGGCAAATAGCTTCTTGCAGGCTTGTCTTAAGTGGGTTACAATAAAAAAAAGTGTGAATGGCATAAGTCATCTATGTATATAGTTACTTTGCATTAGTAGAATATGATTTCTATTTTTCTACGAGCTTTCTGAATCTTCTCTTGATTGAAAACAAAAGTGCAGGTCCTACAAGTGGCCACGTCGTGACTATAGCAATGTATGCCAATAGCCAAATCGATTTCCGGCTGTATCTTGAAAGCTGATCCACTCTCTTCTTCAAAGGACCGAGTAAACTGTTATAAACTTGAGGAGTATTGTCCTTGTGTGGATAATTACTTGTCTTTTCATCAATTTGATCACTATCCTCTGGTTCTACATCAGCTCTTGTCGTGTCAACTTCACTTGCAGCAGCAACCATCCCGTCTTCTCCAGCATCCGCGAATGGTCCTTGATCAATCGAAGATCCTAATGGTTCGGGGATGATCTGCATCTAAAAGAATGATATGATGCATATAGTGGATGATGTCATGGAAATGGACGAAAACTCATTTCCCTCATACCTTCTGTCTTCTGTCTGCAAAGGAGCTGGAGAGTAGCACTTCAAAATATTCTTGCACAGCCCTTGCCCACCTATACGTAACAGTTTCACATATTTCAATTCCACTACTAAGAAATTCCTTGTGGACAGAGATGTGAGATAAGTATCTAAGAACGCGTGTATACGCAGATTGATTACCACATGCTTGTTGCTGTCAACCCTTCATAGTAAGCAAGATGACCACCATGTGTTGTGGTTGCCAGAACTATGTTTTTGTTTGCCCTACAAAAAGTTGACACATTGGAACATCAGTTTCATAATACAGGGAGACCCATCACTATGCAATAAAGATACAACCAAGAATCTCATCAATTTTTTCGCCAACGATGCCTAAAGCCGTTCACTTCCTAATTTAGCCACGCATGGAAACTCAATATAACAGAGAAACTACCAACTCAGTTTAAGAGAAGAATTACCAACTCAATTAGCAAAGGTAACCTTGTGAAAACTTCTAGAGCACCCAAGAACAAAACCAACAACAAAACCAGATACGAATAACTTTCTAGAGCATCTCCTACTCTCTCATATCAAAACCAATTTCCCAAATACTCGGATCCTGTTAAATCCCCGAGTTAGACAATTGTTCCCTCTATCTAACTTCTGAGTGTTAGTGAGGTGACGTGGCATTACTTAACAGCTAATTGATTCCATCTGAAGACTTATCAGTGGCCCTACAAGGCTAGGGCATAGGAGAACCGGTGAAACTAATCTAGTCCATCAGCTCTAGAGTTGAATACTGGAGAAAATCATGATGAAAGGGTATAAGCGTATGGATTCTTACCTACATTCATCCCAAGGAATAGCTTCCCTAGTACAAACTGGATCATCCAAAGCACTGATGCAAAGGAGCGGAACAGCGACATTTCCCACATATTGCGAACTGCTTGAACGTCTATAGTATGTATCAGTTGTCTGCATCATTAAAGATTGGATTTTCTACTGCTTAAATGGAAAGATAGGATATATTTAACAAAGGTAAGGAGAATGTGAAGCAAACTGCACCTCGAATTTGGCAACAAGCCTGGTGGCGTAGTTGTCAAACTCTCGAACTGAACGTGACTAAAACAAGACACAAGATGAATGGTGAATCTTTGAAGTCAATTTACTTGATTTGGCAAATAGATAGAAATCAGAACCCACCTTCTTAATGCCTTCCCAATCGGCTATCCGAGAAATGATGGAATGGTGCCTGTAGGTACAACCATGTGTAAGTGAATAAGAAAGACGTAACTAAAGCGAGCAAAAGTAGGTGTGGATACAACAAGTTAACAATACAAGACAAGAATTTTTGGACATACAATTGTGCATAACCTTGTAGACCAATAGTAAGCATTCTGTCATACAATTTTTGCACGAGTTTGCGGTTGATAAATCGGTCACATATCTGCAAAGAATATCATTTTAAACAGTACGGCATGATTGTTTTTCTTTTCTAGATTCTCTGAACCAAAATTGTACTATAAGTATCTCAAGGAAGATGAAGAGAGACATTGTTTCACTATTAAGTTTAAAAATTATCACAGAATTTAAGTTAGAGTGGACATGAGGGTATACTGACCAATAGATCCCAAGGAGAACACACAGCAGTAGCTCCAATAAGAGGTGTATTTGGCCCATCCTCCCCAAGATATTTTACCTGGATGAGGTTTAGATTATGAAAGTAAATTATGAAAGTAAGATAAACCACATGAAAGCCCATTATTGTAGCAATAAAATGTGGGCTATCAGACTAATTGTGTGAAACGTTATGCCTATAGAACAAACAATGGTCGCCACAATAATTCCAACCTTCTGATGCAAGACTAAGGGAATCAAAGGTAAAAAAGAGGCAATATATACCAGAACGTTGGCACCAATGCTTGTTCCAACAGCAAACAAAGGAGCCTCTGGGAACTGAGAATGGATGTGATCAATTACTTTCCGAAGATCTTCTGTCCACCCAGCAGTGTAGACGCAGTCAGACTGATTAATGATTTGAAGAGCCAGTCAGTCGATGAATCATATATTTTCCACATTCAATGAATCAACCTCACAAATGATAAACTTGTGAAAAAAATTGAAGATTGCAAATCTACTTAATCAGTTTGATAATGTCAAGCCTATGTCATGCTTCTTCCAACACGTTCAATGTTAACTTGATTGCAAGATTGAAGGTCACATATCGAAAATACCAAATTAAGATCAGGCATCTTCTTCTAGGAACTCGTTTAATTCAAAATACCAACACAGTCACGCACTTGTGATCCAAAATATCACCTAGATACCAAAAAATGAAACCAAATCAAGAACACAAAATCAATACTCACAGTTAAAGATATCCCTCCAAGTCCACGGTGGTTTTGCACAACAACATTCCATCCTTCCTTTGCCAGCCTGAAGGCAATATGTTTTATATACTGTGAAAAAAGTATAAAACAAGAGTTCGAGTAAGCAAAAAGAAGAGACAAATGAGACTGTCCCTAAGGAAACAAAACAGAACAGAGGAAGAAAGTCGATAGGAGTGGTGAAATTTACTGCAGCAGAAGAATCACTAGTAAGCCCTGGAACCACAATAGCAATTGGAGTCCTATCAGTTCCTGAAGTTGAGCCATTGACCACCTGAGAAATGCCTTCCACAACTATAGGGAACAAGAAAAAGTTACAAGTCCATGAATCAAAAACTGAAAACAGAAAATGTGTTTATTATTCTTAATACCAACCATCAGAATGCATTAACCAATCCAAAGCAATTGTGCCACCATCTGTTGCCTGATAGAGAATTCTGCACACAGAAAGAGATTCAAAACACTATTCATAAATCTCAAAGATCAAGTCTTTAAGAAAAAACCAAAACAACCTAAGAGAAACACATAACTCTGGCGCCTAAAAGATCTGAGACAAGCAAACAAAGATGTGGTTTTTGAAATTACCTTTTATAGGAAAAAGGAGGAGACTTTCCAAAAAGGCTAAGGAAAGCTGTTTGAAGATGAGGGCTTGAAAGCCAAAACGTAGGAAAGTATCTGCAAAAATTTGAAAATTGCAAATATTTACATAAGAAAGATCGTATTTTGCGATGATGGATCAAGAGAAGGAAGGAACCCATTACCGTCCATGAAGGAGACGACACTTGGAGACAATAAACTGGCAGAACTCAGAGTTTGGATTGAAAGTGAGAGAGATAGGATCTGCTTTAGGGAAATGAATCTCGAGGAAGAAGTAGAGAAACACTAGGATTGTGAGGAAGAAGAAGGTGAGATAGTGAGAGATTGGGATGAGTAAGAGGGATTTGAAGATGATGAGGTAAGGAGAGATCAAATCATCCTCTGTGATTGCGCAATTCATGGGGACAATCTCAAAGTAAAGATCTTTTGCTATTGCAGAAAAATGTGTGGGAGATTTATTACTCAATGAGTAGAGAGAGACGACCAATTTTGTTTGAACACAAAACTAATGACATTTGCTTCTCACTCCAACCAATCGGATTTTTTTCCTTTATTGAGACAAAAAAAAAACAATAGCAAAAAAAAAAAAAAAAAGATTTAACAGAGAGGAGAATCCAATTTAACACATAAATGTTTTGCATTTTATACATTAGAGTTGAATTTAATCTAATATAGGGTCTGATTGGTATTCTGAGATATGAGTTTGTTTTTTTCTTATCATCTAACCAAAATTATTTATAGATTGAACAGATTTTTAACTAGTATACACAAATTTTAGTCTACAATAGTACGAGTTTAGTATTATAAAAATAAAATAAGTATGTTTTTAAGACGGTAAACGGACCTCGAAAGAAGTTTCCATGCGACTAGATTACAATCTCATCAATATAGGGCATATATAATTATTCTAGGCTAAATCATATACTTCTACAACATTGTTGTCCACTTAAGTTATAGTTAATAGTCTAATACTAATATGATATTACCTGTATATCACAAATACGAATACACACTGCTACTCCAATTGATCCAAGAACTAGTAAAACATGCAATAATATATATTTTTTGTTGTTAAAATTCAGTTCTAATATATAATTAAATATATATATATATATAATTCTTTTATTTCTTATACTTTCAATACAACATGCAACAATATTGTTATGAACATTCAGATAACCATGATTCCTAGCCACATTCTAAGTTGGAACACATTAACATAAACAAAGGCCAATCACTTTTAGACTTGATCATGAAACATGCAAAGTCAATTTACATATTACAGTAAGTAACTAATAAATCAAGCAATTTTTCATTCGTCTATAATAAAATTATAGTATTTTTATGAAGCTGTACGTAATATATATAGGAGTTTATGTAAATATTAATAAGTTAAGGATCTAGATGTAATTACCTTAACCCTAATCTTCTTAGTCTCTGTAGCCTCTGTATATATATACTAGATCCTGACCCGCACGTATGTGCGGGGTTTCATATTTCAAAAACATTTCTTACAAATTTTCATACAATATAGATTATTTTATTGTTTTTATGATGTATATTTTAGTGTATTAGATCTAGATCCACATGTACGTGCAGAGATATTTTTTTTAGAAATTGTTATATAGATTTTAAAAATATAAAATATTTTGTTGTGTTAGTGAACTTTGTAATAATATAGATATTATAAAGTTAGAGCAATGAACGAAATTTAGTTGCGTTAGTGCATAGTTATATTTTAAGATTCGGACCTACACGTACGTGTGAAATTGTATTTAATATAAAATTAAGATATTATTTAGTTGCAAAAGTTAAGTGATGTTACGTTTTTATTTCCTAAACTATTCAAAACATTTCTAACAGTTTGATTACATGTGTTAAATAGGATACATATTCGGTTTAGTTTGGATTATTTCATGTATATTAGCTAGGCGTAACTATTTTGGAACAGGAAACCTATCCCGTCTTGTATATGTCATAAATTTTTCGTCCCATAACCCGTCTCGTATACGTGAAATAAAAATATTACGGTCCCGTATCTGTCATAAATTGTAACTAAAAACGTACGTATAATATGTGTGTAAACAAATTTATTTTATATAGTGCTCATAACACAAACTCATACCAGTTGAGTATTAAGTTTGATTTTTAATTTATGTTCCCCTGCCATCCCGTCTCGTAATTCTTATTCTCATTTCATTCCATTAAAACCATGTTCCAAATTCTTGTTTGCTTACTTTAAAATACCATAAAATACATACTGTGAGTTTTGCGGATTAATATGTATGATGTTAAAGTTACAAATATTTTAACAAATTTATTAATGTTTCTTTCCTTCGCTAAATTTTGCATATTCTTCTTTTCATTGTTTAATCATAATTAGTTCAATATTTGGACTAAAAATAAAAGTTTTAGATACATCTATAAAAGGGATATGCTATTGCTGCATAATTTGTGTTGAATGCAAAATATATAATTAGTTTACATAATTTCAAAAACTGTGTGCAATATATTATGGATTTATTTAAGGAAGATCTGAGTTGAAAAAAAAAAAATAAAACACAAAATATTTCAAAATTAATATGTACATTCTATTGTTTAGATTTTTTCAAAAATTGCTCTAAACGAAAACCATTATGATAATTACTTAAAATTTATTATTATTTGAGTTTATTTCATAGTAAAAATAAATATTTGTTAATATTTAATATGGTTTTTTAGAAATTATGAAATAAAATTTCGTTTTATATTTCAAAATTTGTAATAAAAATATTATAACAAAACTGAATATTAAAATATTTGCATTTAATTTTTTTACCAAATTTCAAATTCAATCTTAAAATCTTCCTTAAATAATATTTGCATCTAGTTATTATTTAAGGAAGATCTGAGTTGAAAAGAAAAAAATAAAACACAAAATATTTCAAAATTAATATGTACATTCTATTGTTTAGATTTTTTCGAAAATTGCTCTAAACGAAAACCATTATGATAATTACTTAAAATTTATTATTATTTGAGTTTATTTCATAGTAAAAATAAATATTTGTTAATATTTAATATGGTTTTTTAGAAATTATGAAATAAAATTTCGTTTTATATTTCAAAATTTGTAATAAAAATATTATAACAAAACTGAATATTAAAATATTTGCATTTAATTTTTTTACCAAATTTCAAATTCAATCTTAAAATCCTCCATTGATAAATATTTTAAATGATAGTTTTTTTTTTTAATTTTGACTTAAAATGATATTATTTTTATTTTTATTTTTGATATAGAATAGTCTATTAGGATTGGTTTAGAAAAAATCTTAGTTGGATATCAAATCTTAGTTTTTCAATTCCTATTGGTTAACAATTTTTAAAAAATTAATTTCAAATTTTCGTTTATAATTAATAAGAGAGAGAAAATTAGTTTATTTTTTTGGAAATTAATAAGTATTTAAAAGAATTAAACTATTTTTTATTTAAATATATTAATTTTGTGATTACCATTGTACCCTTAATAAAGTTATTTAAAAACATTAAAAACCAATGGCATTTTTTGTAATTTTTTACCCTTTATAAGGTTATTTATTATCCAATGCTTCCCAATTAATAATATAGATACTCATGTAACTTTGTACCTAATGAATTAAGATTCATACAAACGTCATAATATATTGTTTTTGAGGCCCAATAAGATTCGATGAAAAGGATCTTGATAACTATTTATTACATTGAGAACCCTAAAATCACTACTGAATTAACTTTGTTTCTCCGAACAGCGATCAATGTCGTCCCCGGAGAAGAAGAGGAAGGCAACTACGACGAAGAAACCATCTCTTAAGAGAACGAAGAAGAAGCTGCAATTGACCTCAATTCATTCACTTCCCGATGATGTGCTATTGACGTGCTTAGCACGCGTCTCTAGATTGCACTATCCGACTCTCTCCCTCGTCTCGTCTCCAAGAGCTTTCAATCTCTCCTTGCTTCACCGGAGCTACATAAGACCCGGTCCTCTTTAGGACGCACCGAGACTTGTCTCTACGTGTGCTTTAGGTCCCTTGGTGAACCTGACCCTAACCCTCGCTGGTTCACTCTCTGCTTGAAACCTGAGAAGAAGAAGAAGAAGAAGTCAAGTGAGTATGTTTTGGCTCCAACCTCAGTTCCCTGTTCCGCTCCTGCGCACTGGTCGGGTCTTGTGGCAATTCCTTCAGTTAAGAACATCTACTACATTGGCGGTCCCATCGAACATGCGCCATTATCGAGCCCCGAGGCTCCAAGGATGTGGGTGGAACGGTGCAAACCAGTGGTCAATGTTCTTGATAGAAAGGTATATGTAACAAGAGGCGGCAGAGATAGAGAAGACTCCGATGTGGAGATTTTCACCAAAAACCAAAACTTACGAGATATGGGACTATAATATGACCTTACAAGCAGTGGTTGATAAAAAGGTCTACATGTTTGGATTGACTAATGGTTTGGCTTACATACCCAAGGAAGGACAATGGGAAAGATTATGGGGTCAGAAATCGAGTTGGGGATGGTTTTCTTTTTGCGTGATTGAAAATGTATTGTACCATTACCGTTCTGGAGTGTTCAAATGGCATGACTCCAAGGGAGGATGTTGGATAGAGATGAAGGGTTTGACAGGATTGCCTAAGTTTGAAAGTTATGGTTGTGTTCAGTTGGCGGATTATGGTGGAAAGATGGCGGTTTTATGGTCTGAGCTTGTGCTTACCAATGGCTGTAAGAACAAGATGATTTGGTGTGCGGTAATTGCGCTTGAGAGGCGTAATGGTGAAGAGATTTGGGGGAAGGTCGAGTGGTGTGACGTGGTGCTTACGGTCCCCAATTCATCTAAATTGGAGTATGCTCTTGCTGCAACTATCTGACGAATCACAGGCCCGACAGGCTTGAATGTGTAGAACTAAAACAAGATACAGATTTTTATTGAAGAGTGTTTGGTCATTTACTATACAAATAATTGTCTCTGTTTCGTAGTGACTAAATGAACAAGTTGTGGAAAAATATTGGGGTCTTGAATCATTCTTGCTTCTTCTAAGAAACTGGTCAGACCAAGTTGCGAAAAAATTGGGGACTCAAGGTACCGTTATAGTTCTGGACCGTTCAAACAGTCAGAGATCATCTACGGTTTTTGTAACTTACTGACTTGAGGCGATGACTACAAAAACATCATCAAGTGACCATTTTGTATGCTTGGATTTATCTGTAGGATTAATCACAGCTTGGTCCATTCCCGCAAGGCGATAACCGATTATGACTTCCTGTCTTTGTCGAGCCCTTCTCATTATATCATAAAAGCAAACCTCTTCTTGGTCATATATGTAAAACTCTGCAGGTCTTATGCACAATTCATTACCCTGCAACAAAAATGACTATACTCATCAGAACAAATTGACATATCTCCCCCATTCTACACAAGAAGAGCAAGTTCCTTTCTTATGTACCTTTTCCGCGAAAAGCTCTTTTAAAACACGGTTTATTTGTTTATCTTCTGCGACCATCGCAAGAGCCAT